TAAATCTCCATTGCTTCATTTGGCCTAGGAGTGCAAGAGCAAAGATATTGGAGGTTGAAATCACGTCTCCATTTCCTCATAAGAAAGCAAACCATGGCTTTATAAATCCTTTCTTTAATGGAGATAGGTGTGAAGGTGGCATTTGGCTGAGAGACGTCAAACCAACGCGTACACCATGTGTTAGGCTCAGGCAAATAACCAAGCCGAATAAAAGTTAAGATGTTTACGATCAATGTCTCAGTTAAAATGAAAACCACCCTCGTACATTTTCCAGTTAATAGATAAAATAATTTCTTCACATTTTTAATGCAGCTCACAAAGTTGTGAAGATGTTAGTCAAGTTGATAGCACGCATCAACGCAAGCCAAAGTTATGTCAGAGAGCAGCAAATATTACTTGAGGAGTGATAAAAGATGTCGGAAACAGTCTGGGAAATTAGTGATGGTGAAAGATACTTATAACCTCGTGGCTGGTATCACTCTTCAAATTGACATTGGTAGGAAATGCGCGAACCATGAAAGCAGGAGCAGAACAGAGTGAGGCAAAAATAAGAATAAAAAGGTTTAAGCTCTGCAATTGAGGAAAAAGAGGGTAGAAGAGATCAAGACTGAATTGTCGGCTGCAGTAACTGCAGCGTAAGCCGTAAAGTTCACTAACAAGGTGGTGCGAGCATTGACGACGCCAACGTGACTTCCGAGTCGACAACCTCCACTGCAGCCTCCATCTCGCCCTTCTTCCACACCTGTCTTTCCACACTCTTTCTTCTTCTGTCTCAATACATCTGAGGTGTACTTCCATACCCACGTGTCATGGCTTCCATTCCATTCTTAACACTCTTTCTCAATAAATGTCTAATAAAACGATTCTCTGTGTTGTCTTCTCTGTCCATCAATACGATGCCAAATGCCTCCCACTTGGCAGGTATTGTAGGACATGTCATTGACAATACAGCAGCAGCAGCAGCGGCAGCAGCAGCAACTTCAGTATAGAGAATTAATGCTTACATGCATGATTATAGTTTGGCTTAATTATATGTCGTCGTAAGAGGAAGGATCTTCGAATGGAACGTTAGCTTGGCATGCAAGCGATATTCTACTCTAAGGTCTGGCAGTGTTGTATCTTAAACACAAATATGAAAACGCTGCCTTCAATTCATTATCATGCTGGTCAGCTCTGTACATTTAAAATCTTGTTCGAGTCAGCTTCAGATATTTCCTGTATCTAACTCACAATGAAGAAAATGAGGAAAAATGGCGGTCTGCTGTCCATACAGGCAGTGATTTGCAATGGTGGAAGAATATTTTGGTGCTCGTTGCCCTTGGATGGGACACGGATAATGGACGTGTAATCAGTGAATGCATGTAGAATAAAAATGTGCTTTGGAATGCGGAGTTAGTTCGGGCTGATCAAGCGGTCAAGTTGCATGCTATTTGGTAATCACTGCGACCATGGGGAATAGGAGAGCTGTTTAGTAAAACAACAGAATTCCCCTGAAAAACAGTTAGTTGTATTCGGTTGGGAAGGTGGTCGTTAGGTGGATGAAGGAATGCGGGATGGTGTCTGAGCGCCTAAATGAGAAGAGGCTTATTGGCAATGTAGGGGGATAGCTTTGTTAAAGCATTGTTACTGCATTGTCGAGCCTCCGAGTAGATGTGACGGTTGCAGTGCAGCTGATCTCCCTCCATCGAACGCAGTGCTCAATACGCTAGAGATTACCTTTGTCAGTTAGCCATTAGTGAGTGAGAGGTGACTCGTTGCGATCACATCACTGAGGAGCTGTAGAAGCACCTGTTACAAGCGGATTAAGCCTGATGGAGGGGCATGGGTGTGGTGGTTTTGACAATGAATATGTGATATTCCAAGAATGGGTAAAAAGAGAAATGTTTGCTCTAATGTGAGGGAGCTTAATAGCGTAGGCATTCATACAAGCACATGTTATAACGCCTCCACACTTTATGCTTAATCTGGTCCTGTTTTGAGTTTTCTCATGTTCTCAACTGCAGATCTTCTTAGAATATGCGTTAGTAAGATTGAGTAAAATTCCAAATAATTTATTGAGGCTCCGATCAAGCCATCGTCTGGCAGTGTTTATCCAACCGATCAAAACCTATGCAAAGCATAGCAATATTTTGTGGCAAAATTAAAGAGATTTTGCACTTAGCAGAAGATTTTTTCTCTCAATAGATGCTTTGTCTATTTGCAAAGGCTTGGAATCAAACAGTAGAGCAATAGGGCGGTAATGTAGTAGTCCAACCTATGCTTTACCGATGCCTCCATTCCCCTTACCTGTGAATGTAAATGGCACAAACTTCACTTAATGACGCCATTGACAATGCTGCATAACTCCACTTGCGACGAAGTGTTGGTAATGCAGTGTTTAGCAATTTGACATAGAAGTCGATGCAGTAGATGTTAACATGAGTAGTAATGCATCCACAGAAATTGTGTTGGGTGAGACGGTGTCGAAAACAGAAGGGAAGTAACAACAAGGATAAGTGCAGGAGGGAGAATTTCAAAATGCCAAGTAGGCCAATGCGGAAGGAAGCAATAACAATGAATCTTAAAATTGTGGAAGTGGAGGTGGCGCCTCAAGCGATTGAGGTGGCAGTCGTGGTAGCGAGAATGGAAGGGGAGGTGGTCGGAGTGAAGTTAATGGGAATGGGGATAGTGGCCAAAGCAGTCCAGGTAATGACCATATTAGCGGAGATGGGAATAGCAGTGCTGGAATGGAGGAAAGAATAGCAGGACTACTGGAGAAAATGGCACGCACAATCCACTCCACTCGACTTCCACTTCTGGGACGCTGTCAAAAACGGGTTCAGTGCATGCCGCAGTAGTCTCAATTTTCAGCATAAAAGTCACCCACTTAATTCATCCAACTTATACCATTACTATGCAAGTCACTCGTATTTAACGATAAATTTCCCTGTTTCTCCCCTAAGCCGATTTTGCCAATGCTATGTCTAGTGAGGCGGTAACAGTGCCACAGTAGTTGCAAAGTGGGAAAAAGGAGTCAAACTGTCAAACGGTGCAGTAGCAACAAGGCGGGTGAAGTGTACGAACCTAACTTGGGGGTAGGTAAATAATAAAAATGCACAGAGATGACCAGCAAATATTAACAGTACACAAGTTTACTACATTCCATACGATGAAGAATTGAGGTAAGCGAC